TGTCTCTGCAGGTGATACCTCATCTGTCTCCAGCTCCCCACTTTCTTCCAGAACTAGAGGCCCCCCATATGTCAGCAGCCTCCACAGATGCCTCCCTTAGATGCCTTCTGAACCCTTCACGCCCACCGTGTCCCACACTGATCTCAACGTCTTCCCCTAGACCTGTGCTGGCTCCCTCTAGCTCTCATCAGGCACCAAACTCTTGACATTTCTGCTTTTGGAACATTGTCCCTCCAAGCTGTCCCTTCTCCCCCATCCTTACAGCCCGAGCCTAGGCCAGATCACTGCCCTCTAAAACCTAGCCCCTTGCCCAGCCTCCTTTCTGGTCTCTTGGCCTCCAAACCAGTCACAAAAGGAAATGACCCAGACAAAACAGTGTTCCCCAAACTTCAATCTTTTCCGCACTAACTACACATCTTCTTGCCAAGTTCACATCAGTTCAACCTGTTTATCTGGTATTTTAAATTCACTCATGTTTTTATTTAACTTAACAAACTTTTCCAAACTTTGGAATATTTCAGAAACAAAAACATTTTTAAAGTTAGCTTGTTATAAGTAAAAAGTAACCATAAAGATAAAAGCAAAACAGGGGCGCCTGGGTGGCTCAGTTGGTTAAGCGTCTGACTTCGGCTCAGGTCATGATCGCACGGTTCACAAGTTTGAGCCCCGTGTCGGGCTCTGTGCTGACAGCCCAGAGCCTGGAGCCTGCTTCGGATTCTGTGTCTCCCTCTCTCTCTGCCCCTCCCCACCTCTCAAAAATAAATAAAAACATTAAAAAATTATGATCTAAAATATGAAACTGATCATTTGGTCCCCTGCTTAAAACAGGGCCAGGGCTCCCCACTGCCCCCAGGTAAAGAACCAGCTGCTTAACAGCTTAAACTAGAAGCACACACTCTGCTACTGCCTCTCCTTCTTATCCTGCCTCTTCGGGCTCCCCCTCCCAAGTGCTAGGTCCCAGCCACACTGAACCATTCGTTCCATACTCTCTCAGTGCTAGTATCATCCGTGCTGGTCCTCTGCCAAAAAAAAAACAAAACAAAAAACAACAAACGTTCTTTTGCCTCTCACTCATACTTCAATCAAAATACTCCCCCTTCTAGAAAGTCATGCCTACCCCCTACCCCAGCAAAGTCAGGCACATCCTCTGAGCTTCCTCCATCACAGCCCCGACCACTGTGAGCTCTCTCAGGCTATCTCAGGCATTGCTGGGTCCCCAACATTACCCAGTTCAGGGATGGGAACAGAAGACAACTTAAACATTTGTTTAGTACATACTCCTGACTCATCCACAATGTCCCGCCTTTTAACAACTCAAACGACTCTGAGTAGCCTGATTTCAAGGAACCCTGTCTTCATTCCCCTGGCTCAGTCCCAGCAAAGCCTTCTTTCCAAACCTGGCTCCCTGATCCCTGAGGAAAAGAGCTCCCATTACTATTTGTGTTATCTTGGGGCTGGAACGTGCTCTTACACTGTCTGTCCTCAGCATCCCCTGAAGTAACCGCTGGTTTATAAAACTATCTCCCCTCCAGGACAGAGAGCTCCATGAAGGAGCCTGTGATCCCAGCCTGATAGGAACACTTGCTGAATGAATGAATGAATGAAATGGGCAGGTTACTGTGGCTGAGAATGGGGAAACCGCTGATTCCCCCAACAGTGGGTCATCATCTGCCATCCCAACCTTCTATCCACAGGACCTGGTCCTTCAAGGACCATGCTAACCTTTGGCTATCCAAACAGCCTATCCAGTCCTATCTCTAGCTGGCCTCTCACTGTCCTCCTGCCTCATCTAGTGACAGGAGACAAGTGAGCAGGTGAGTCAAGAGCCTGGTGTGGTGTTGGGGAAGTGAGATTTGCACAGAGCAAACCAGATGTCCCAGCCAGGAAAAGGACCCAGGGATCCTGGCCTCATTACCACCAGGCTTTAACCACAAGCAAAGTGCCTTGAAGCCATGAGTCAGGGAGACCAAGAACCCAGTACTGCTGCTCGAAGCAAAAACCCTTCCTAGCATCCTCCCACTTGCCTCACCCCCACCATGGCTTCCTGACTCTTCCAACTCTTCGCTGGAAGCTGAGGACTGCCCACAGGGCACAAGGATTGACAATCAAATGCCTACCGAGGGCAAGCAGAGAACAAAAATAAATGGGGCAGCTCAAAGAAAACCCATGGCACTCTCCATCTACCTGATTTTTCCTAGGACACAAGTAAAGGAAAACTTCCTTTTACCTAAATCTTCTGCCGCAAGGCAGGCATCATGATAAATGGCAACTGATATATCCCAGGAATTGGAGAAAATCCCCCATTTTAAAGCAGGCTGCCATTTCTTGAGCAAAGAGCTGCTTGCTGGCTCCTCTAATTTTCCCAGAAAAGCAGAAAAATCATGATTTTTACATGAAATCGCCCTTGCAAGTGTTGGCAACTACCTTTAAAAAAACTGATCTATGTTTCTGTAGGTTAAAGGAGACATCTATAATCATCCAGTCATCTCTGTTAGTTTGTAACTGTTGCCTACTAAGTGTGAACTCCCTGAAAGCAAAAATTTGCCTTGTTCTATTCTCTCCAACACCTAGGAAGAACCTGGAACAAAGCTGTAGATGCTCAAACATTCATTTGCTCGATAAATAAGTTAGAAATAAACAGACAAGGAAAATAGCTAAAAGGAGACTATTTAAAGTCAGTTATGTCCCAGGAAATGTTTATTTGATTCCTGAAACAGTGATCCTTTTAAAGCATTAGATCACATCCCTTCTTTGCTCAAAACTTCAAGGCTCTGTCGCGCTCAATCAGGACAAATTCCTCACCAGAGGCTTCAAGATCCTATATGATCTGGCTCCCGTCACTTTCTTGTGGCGCTCACGCTGATCCAGCCAAACTTGACTCCTTGTTACTTTTTGAACACGCAGACATGCTCCCAACTTGGCACTTGCTGTTCCCCCCTTACTGGAACACTCTTCTTCCACACATGACTCACTTTCTCACCTCCAACACATCTTTTTTCAAATATCACTCTCTCAGACTCACCCTATTTAAAACTGACCCAAGGCTCCCTATTCCCCTTCCCTGCTCTTCTCCAAAGTACTTTCTGCTTTACTAAATGATACACACATCAATCACGTTTGTTTATGTTCACAGGGGCAAAGACTTTCAAAATGTTTTACTAGTGCAGCCCAAGGGCAAAAAAGTGTGCCTAGTACACAGTAGGCACTAAAAATATATTTCTGAAATGACCGTGCATACTCCAAAATAAAAGCTAACAGTGGGTGCTTCCTACATGCCAGGTCCTTTAAACACATCACCTGTGGGGCTCCTGGTTTGCTCAGTCGGTTAAGCCTCTGATTTCAGCGCATGTCATGATCCGATGGTTCATGAGTTTGAGCCCCGCGTCAGGCTCTGTGCTGACAGCCCGGAGCCTGCGCCTGCTTCAGATTGTGTGTCTCCCTCTTTCTGCCCCTCCCTAGCGCATGCTCGCTCTCTCTCTTAAAAATGAATAAACATTTAAAAAATTAAACACATCACATGTTATTTCACTGTATTTGGAGCATCCCTGGCCTCTCGCACCTGTCCTTCTGCTTGACTTAGGCTTGCCTACTTCTCTGTCACTACCAACAATCTGGAGGCTCCCAGAGGCCAGAGCTCGTTCTGATACCCTCCGAGCTCCCACAGGGGCCTTTCTGTCCCGGTCCTGTCCCCAGGCTCAATGCCTCCCCACAACGTCCCAGCCACACACCTCGGCCTCCTCGCCGTCACTGCTGCGCTCGCTGTCCTCCTCCTCGGAGAAGTTGCTGTCCTCACTGTCCGACATCTTCAGCTCTTGCAGGAAAAGACGGCCTCAGTGCGTCCCCCAAACAGCAGCCCCACCCCTGCCTCGGTTTCCCCGCCGGTTCCCGGAGAGAAAAAAAAAAAAATCCCTCAGCGCACTTCCGGCAGCCTGGTTCTGGCAAGGGTGAACCCGAAAGGCTACCCCTTAAGCTATCTGTTACACCTTCCGTGTCCCGGAATCCGGTCTCTAAAGCCTCCCTATGCCCCGGCGACCCCCGGTCCTGCCACCACGGCGTCCTACCCACCCCTCACCGCTCCGGTTCCACCTCAACCTTCGGTACCAGCAGCTGTTCACACGACGCCTGGCTGGGACTGATGTGCCCTCTCGCGAGAACCTACGCGTCGACCTCGCTTAACGCGAGATTTCCGGGGCTAGTCCCCGGCGACGCACTTCCAGGACGCCATCTTGAAAGTGGCAGATCCGGCTCAATGTAGAGCATGGAGTCGACATCTTGGGAGGGTCAAAGAGGAAGGATGGTTACTCCCCTTCTGGACGGCACTTCCAACCGGGAATTCGTGTTTGAATTTAATAGTGTGGTGTGCCAAGCCGTGAAGAGGCAGGGAATGACCAAATAACAATGAGTTAGCAAATAAATCAGACTTTATCTCCTACCTCCAAAACATTCCTCGGAGGTAAGTACCCCCATTTTGCTGACAAGGAAACTGAAGCTCAGAAAATAAACTGGACAGGGGCAGACCTAAGACTCCTTCCCCCAAGTTTGAGTGACTCTTAAAACTCGTTTTCCTTTACAAATCCCGAAGTTTAAATCAATGTGAATTTACATATTAGTAATTATTTGTCAGACAGATGGCAAAGAGGACCAGGCATGATGAGACAAGGATAAGAAAAATTCACTCGATGAAGAGGGAAAAAATGAGAAACTTTTTAAAAAAGTGTTTTTATTTTTGACAGAGAGAGAGAGAGCGCGCGCGCGCGCGAGCGAGCATGAGTCAGGGAGGGAGAGGGAGACACAAAATGTGAAGCAGGCTCCAGGCTCTGAGCTGTCAGCACAGAGCAGGATGCAGGGCTCCAACTCACCGACCAGGAGATCATGACCTGAGCCAAAGTTGGACGCTCAACCGACTGAGCCACCCAGTCACCGCGCCCCGCCCCCACCCCAATCAGAAACTTTTAAAACACATTGCTAAAATTTCTTGCATAAGCATTGAGACACCTGGATTCAGTTTACAGAAATTTAATATGCACCTGGTTACAGAGTCAGATGGTGTGGTCAGGCCAACAGTGGGCTCACAAAGACACTATCAGGGAATGAATACACCACAGGTGTGTCTGTGTGAGCACACACTCCTTGATCCAACATCTCAGCCTGAACCCAAGACAGACTGGGGAGGGGCTGGTCATTCTATAAAAATGTTTTCCCTTCTATGAGCTTGGTACCCACATGTTTATACATACTTAATAATTAGGCTTCATGCGTCTAGTGGAGCCCAATGCAGGGCTTGAACTCGTGACCCTGAGATCAACAGTTGGACATGCAACCGACTGAGCCACCCAGGTGCCCCCAAGTTTGATTCTTTTAAACACCAGCTCTTTAAAATAGGATCCCACATGTAAAATGCCTATTGACACTGCTGCAGAAAGCTATTTACTCCAGGAAAGTGAGGGAGCAGTAATTTTCTCCTCGTAGAAGGTTCTTCCTTGGTGTCTCAGTGGTTCTCAACCCTACCACTATGTAAGAATATGTAAGAAGATAGAAGAGAGATGTGCAATAGCCCCAAAGTGGGAACAACCCAATGTCCACCATGAGGAGAATGGATAAACCAATTCGGGTGCATTCATACCATGGAATAGTAACAAACTGCTGATACGCATGTGAGTGAATCTCAAAAACATCATGCTGAGTGAAAGAAGCCGGACACTAGAATATGTATAGTATGATTCCGTTCATATGAATCTCTAGAGGAGGCAAAGCTAATTCTATACAGACAGGAAGCAGATTAATGGATGTCTACGACGGGACGTGAAGACTGGGAAGGGGCATAAGGGATGATGCTTTGGGGTGATGGAAATGTGGCTGTGTGTATATATTTGTCAGAACTCATTGAAATGCACGTTTAAAACGTATGCTTTTTACTGTATACAAATTACACATCAATAAAGTTGTATTTTCAATAAAGTTGATTTTCAAGCTATAGCTGTTCAGGCAGGACGCACCAGAGACCAATTATCAACATCTAGCCTAACCATCAGTGTCACCCGAAAGCTCTCCAGATGGTAATTATTTGCAGCCAGGGACATGAGGCACAAGACTCTCCCTGTCCTGTAGGGGTGGGGTGAGGTTGGAAGACACCTGTGCAATGCTTTGTCCCTTCCTGAATGAGGAGAGAGGAGGGAGTACCTCAGATGGAGAAGAGGGGCAGGTGGGGGCCAATTTACCTAACCCCCTACCCCTGTAGGTCAGAGACTTCAGGCTTCAGATTTTCCTCCTTCTCTCTTCCCCTTGGTTCCATGGGCTCCAGATGGGGGCCTTTGGCCCAGAAGGAGAAGGCTTTGGATTGGCAGCTGGGACTGGAGACCAAGTGCCCTCTGTCTCACACCTCCCGGGCCCTTCAGCAGTACTAGGGAGTCTGTGTCCTCCCAGGCTCATGCTGAGGGCAGGTGCCTAGCACAAGCCCCCTGTAATAACTCCAAGAGCTTGGCCAGAAAGAGGGGGACGGGTCTCTGGGGATGTCCTTCACAGGGTGGACAAGGACCCTGGCCAGTCACCCACAGCCGGGACCCCAATGCATCCAGCAAACGCTGTAGCCGGAACACAGCAATCCCCATGGATCGGCCCTCTTCGAACTGGATCACAGAAAGCTCCAGCCGGAAGCATCCCAGAGTCTCAGCAGGACAAACCTGTGGGGACAGAGTGACTTGGTGTCTCTGGGCAAGGGTCTGATCCCAAATCCCCAAACCTAGGGTTTCTGAATTATGTCCTGGCATAAGCCCCTTCACCTCTTTGGGCCTCAGTTTCCTCATCTGTAAAACAGAACTCTGAATAATCCCTATCTTCAGGGATGATGCTAGCCTATACTGTCTGTGCCTGTGTAAGTTAGAAAATGACACTTCTTGGGGCGCATGGGTGGCTCAGTCGGTTAAGCATTCAACTTTGGCTCAGGTCCATGACCTTGTGGTCCGTGAGTTCGAGCCCCGCCTTAGGCTCTATGCTGACTGCTCAGAGCCTGGAGCCTGCTTCAGATTCTGTGTGTCTCTTTCTCTGCCCCTCCCCCCCACTCGTGCTCTGTCTCTCAAGAAAGAATAAATTAAATAAATAAATTAAAAAAAATTAAAAACAATAAATTTTTAAAAAATAAAACAATACTCCTTAAAACACTTCCAAGTGCTGATTTTGTCGGAACAAGATATTTCATTGCCATCTACCAGAAATTGACAAAAATATCCAGGATGTGGATGCTGACCTTGTTGTGGGATTCTTGTGCAGCGTACATCCTTCACATCCATACATGGTGACCCTATCTACCTCATAGGGTCAGTGTGAAGACTAAGTAAGCTAATATAGTTAAAGCGTTTAGACCAGTACCTGGCAGAGTGAGCACTATTAAAAATGTCGCTATCATCATCAGTATCTGTTGTTAGGTGCCAGCTGCTGTTCTCGGCGTGGGAGACAGCAGTGAACGAAATGTATTTGTGATGGCTGGGATCTGGGTCAGCAGCTGGACAGCCAGAACACCAGCCTGCTGCCTCCTGCCCCAAACATACATGTGTTCTCAGCCTAGTGGAATTTCCCTAAATTTCCAACTCCAAGTAAAAAGCTAATGAAATACTCACCGAGAGATCATCAGGGGTGTAGAGAGTGCCATCATTTTTGTTTCCCTACAATTGGGGGCAGGGAACAGAATCAGATCTTGGAAGGGAGAGCCTGACCTTTCCTCAAACGTGCCCCACACCCTACCGCCTCCCTGCCTGTCTGCTGGCTCTCCCCTCCATCTTCCTCACCAGCATCTTCATGATGGCAACAAGGAAGTAGAAAGGCTCCCGAGGGCAGAGGGGTGATCCTAGGCCTCCCAAGGGCCATACCAGCAGAAGGATGGTCCAGAGAGGCCACATGGGCACCCTGCCCACCCCCCAGGCCTTTTCTGGTCCCAGCCCAGGGTCCTGGAAGCAAGAAGTACAGGAACACTTGAGTGGCTCTGTTGGTTAAGTGTCTCTTGGTTTTGGCTCAGGTCATGATCTCACAGTTCACGGAACAGAGCCAGTGTTGGGTTGTATGCTGACAAGCTCGGAACCTGCTTGGGATTCTCTCTCTCTCCCTCTGCCCCTCCCCCACCACGCACGTGCACACAGGCAGTCTCTCTCAAAACAAGTAAACAACAACAACAAAAGAAGTACAGAGAGATAAAGCAAGCTGGAAGACTGAAGTGTCCTGTCCCCTTCCTGTCCATCTCCACTCAACCCACAGATACTCAGGGAATGTTCTTCAAGAGGCCAGGGAAGATGGTGACCCTAGAGTAGGCCCCAGGTCACAGGCCTCCCTGACACCTCTCCCCCACTCCCCACAGGAAGATACAAGACTGAGCAAGGGTGTGAGGATCAGCCTAGAGAGATTGGAGGGTTGGGAAGTCCCGTCCCCACCCTCCCCACCGCCCCAAGAGATCCATCAGGCAGTACAGCATGTGAGTGCGTGTGAATCCTGTGGCCTGTCTTCTCAGTGGGAAACACCTATGCTAGGCTTTAGACTTTTTTTGCGGGTTTATTTTGGGGGGGGGGGGGTCCTTGCTCTCTTTTCTACTTCTAGTTCTTTTTTCTTTTTTAAATAAATGTTTATTCATTTTTGGGAGAGAGAGGAGAGAGAATGAGAGGGGGAGGGGCAGAGAGAAAGAGAGGGGGACAGAGAATTTGAAGCGGGTTCTGTGCTGACAGCCACAAGCCTGATGGAGGGCTCGAACGCAGGAACCGTGAGATCATGACCTGAGCTGAAGTCAGACACTCAACCAACTGAGCCACCCAGTGCCCCTCCACTTCTATTTCTGTATCAAGTACTGTATTTCTGTATTTCAAACATCTTGAAATCTCCATGCTTGTCTGTACCTGTCTGTCTTCTTTCTCTGAGGGCTGGTCTCTCTGCCTCCGAATCGCCGTCACTTGTGTTTTCTGGGTCCATCTGTAATTGATCTTCTGTCTACCTTCTTTCTCCTCTTCTCCATCGGCCCCTTCTTTGTCTTGCTCCTTCATGTGTGCCCGTCTCTCTCTTGTGCTGTGTATCTGCGTGTGTGTCCTCCCAGGTCAGCCTCTGGATGCTCCCTTCCTTCACCTCTCCCCTCTCCCACCCTTTTGGAGCTGGACTCTGGGCTGGAGGATCCTCCCTCCTGCCACAGACCCACCTACCAATCTCCACCCTGTCTCCATTTTCCAGGCACCAGGTAAGCGACCACACCCCTTTGAACCTTGAACCTCGGATTCTGCTGCCAGGGAAACTGAAGAAACTGTGGGCTCTCTGCAGCCCTGATAAAGAACCCTTTTGACTGGGAAAGGAGTATCCTGGGGGGAGGGGGGGGGGAGCCAAGGGGAACCTAATCCTGAGATTCCTCAGAGGGGATTGGGGGGACTGGGGATGGAGAATACTATGGGGAAGGAGCCTGGAGAGTTGGGTGATTTGGGGGAGTGAAGAGATGATTTGAAGGACCCCAGAGAAAGAGGGATTTTAAGGTAGAGACCTTGAAGAGGGGGGAATCTGGAGGGAGGGTCTCTAAGAAGTGGAGAATTCTGGGAGAGGGAAATTCCAGGGGAGGCAGTTGCTGGTTAGAGGACGCTCTGAAGGAAACGGAATTCTTAGGAAAGGTAGATTCTGAAGGAGGGGGGTCTGAAAGGGAGAGAACACTTGTGAAAGGAGATTCTGGCGGGGACGTTCTGGGAAAAGTGGACTGCGGGCAGTGGGAGATTCTGGGGCCCTTTGAGTGGAGGAAGATTCAGAGAAAGGGGGGGGTCTGGTTGAGGGCTCTGAAGAGGAGAGTTCTGGGGGGCGGAAACTTAAAACGGAAGGAAATTCTGGTGAAAGGTAGATTCTGGGGGAAGGGCTCTAAAAGGATTAAAAACATTCTGGGAGAGAATTCTCGAAGGAGGTGGGTTCTGAATCCTGAATCTGGGAATCCTGGCTGATTTCCTGCTGTGGGTTCCGTAGGTGAGATTCCGATGGAGGAGGATTTGGGGAGAAGAGTGTCTAGAGGGCAGGATGGAGTGTACAGGGGAGGATGATTGCTAGAGATAAGGGGCTAAGAAGGGCCCTTTCCAGAAGGTGAAAAGCGACATTCTGGGTGGAGGAAGTGGAGGGAGAGTATTAAAGAGCCGAAATGCAAATGAACCGGCCGTTACCAATGAGGACAGAGACTAGGAAGAACAGGCTGTCCTCGCTCTACTTCCGCGACTGCACCCGGCACATTTCAGGCCCCGCCCCTTCCACTCACGGGTCCCTCCTCCTCCGCTCGGGGGCCCACCTTCCCGCCGCGAATCCGAAGTCCCGCCCCTGGCTACAATAGGAGCCGTAAAGCTCTCTCCCGTCGCGACGCAGCACTCAAAGCGCCTGCGCAGACCCTGAAAAGCGGCCGGGGTGGCCCCGCACTTTCCTTTTCCGGTTGCGGCGCCGCGCGGTGAGGATCTCTTGTCTACGTTTGCAGCCATGCCGTCCAAGGGTCCTTTGCAGTCTGTGCAGGTCTTCGGCCGCAAGGTGGGCCGGGCGCCCGATGGGAGGGGCGGAGGGAGGCCGGGGTCTGCAGAGGCCTGTGGGCAGGGTTCTAGGGTCCACATGGGAGCCGGGGGCCGAAGCTCACGTGGTTCCGCTGTTTCTCCCTCGCTTTCCACAGAAGACGGCTACAGCCGTGGCGCATTGCAAACGGGGCAACGGCCTCATCAAGGTGAATGGACGGCCCTTGGAGATGATCGAGCCGCGCACGCTGCAATACAAGGTGCTGGGATTGAGGGTGGGCGTTTGGGTTGAGTAGGGGGGCTCTGGAGAGATATATTTAAGTGGATTCCTGGAAGTGGTTTTGGGAGGCTGAGGGATCTGGTATCAACAACGGGTTGTATAGAAGGGGGAGTTGGGGGCAGAGAAAATGGGGCATTTGGAGATGGAGCTGTTTTCGGAGGTTTCAGATATTGTGCTAAAAGCTTGAGTTGAGAGTGAAAACGTGGATGTTGCAGATTAAGAGGATGGTTTCAAAAGTGGGATATGGAAGCTCAGTGACAGTTGGGGACCCGATGGCAAGAGGAGTTTGTGTGGCAAGTTGATGGGGTCGTGTATTCTGTATACAGTCTAACGTTTGTTTTAACTGGTAGAGTGTGTATACGTTTTTCGAGAACAGGAATTAATTTGTTAAAAGATACGGCCTAAAGGTAGTGTTTGGACATTGTAGGTGCTTAAAAAGCATTGGGAGAACAGGACCAGAATTTCTGTTTGTTGTGCTTTGCTGTGAAAGGGGTTCCTTGCCTGCTTGTTTCTGTTTTGGCCTCGGTTTTTTCAGCTCAGAATGGAATGAGTGGAGTCTGTTTTTTGCCTGTTTTACCTGTGTTGTTATTTGAGGCATGTAACCTCGTGTTTTTTATTTTCTTTCCCTTGGGTCATCCATAAAATGGGGATCATTTCTCCCTTGAAGGGTTGTTGTGAGGGTAAGTTAGATTGTCCGGGTAAACTTCTTGGCATGTATGAGAATGCATTTGTTTCTTCTTTAAATTTTGTTGCTTTGTATTTCATTTTTATTTTAATTGTTTTTGACAGTTTTAGTTATTTTTGAGAGTGCAAGCGGGGGAGGGGCAGAGAGGGGGACAGAAGATCTGAAGCAGGCTCTGCCCTGACAGGAGAGAGCACGATGTGGGACTCAAACTCAGAACTGTGAGATCATGACCTGAGCCAAAGTCTGACACAACCGACTGAGCCACTCAGGCACCCTCTAATTTAATTTTTTAAATTTTAGTGTAGTTGACACGCAATGATATGTTTCTGGTGTACAACGTAGTGATAAGAGTGTCATTTTTAAACGTGAAGAATAATACGCGTTCCAGGCTTAGTTAGAATGTCATATGACAGTGTCTGAGATCTTTTCTGTGTAGCAGATACCAAGTGCTGTGGTTTACTCTTCTCGATTGTCAGTTTTATGAAGATTTTGTTATGTAACCGGTGTTGGGTGTTGGGGACCCAGCAGTGACCCAGGTGACCCCAGGCCCTGCCCTTATAAAGCTCCGAGTCTAGTAGAGGAGGCAGACTGGTCCCAGTATCAGACCCTGCTCCAGGGTAGTCAGGGCTAGGATGGGGGAGCCCAGAGAAGGCATCTGGCTCGAACCTGGGTGGGAGGATAAGTACAGGCTTCATGGGGGGGGGGGGGGGGGGCCCAGCGGGAGGGGCGGGGGGAGGTGGAGATGGGAATCTGTGAGCTGAGAGCTAAGACCTAAAGTAGGTAAAATAAAAGATTCTGGGCACGTGCAAAAGGTGTAGAGCTGGTAAGAGGAGAGCAGGGCACACAGGTAGTGTAGTTGTAATTTGGAAATGTGAGGCTCAAAGGGCTGGGTGGAGAGCCCAAGGGAGGGAAATCCAGAGAAAGCACCTGACATGGCCCAGGAGTGGTTTTTCACTGTTCCAGGCAGGTATGGTGGCTGTAGGGGGTTTTCCTTGTTGAGCTAAAGTGCCAGAACTGGTCCTGGAGATGGGGACTCTGAGGCCCAGAGGGACACAGATGGGAGGGCCCAGCTCGGGTTCCCTTCAGCAGTCTGTCATCTGTCTTCAAATCGTCCCTGCTCTCCTAGCCGTGCAGAGAGGTCAGCGATGGCAGAAGCTACTTGGAGAGAAGTAGGGTGCTCGGTGCGGTGGCTCAGCTGCCCAGCCTGTGATCTAAAATCCCGTCATGTCCCTTGTTCCTCCAGCTACTGGAACCTGTTCTGCTTCTGGGCAAGGAGCGGTTCGCTGGGGTGGACATCCGAGTCCGAGTGAAGGGTGGCGGTCACGTAGCCCAGATTTATGGTGAGTCGCCGGAACGGGGCATACGGTGGGAGGTGGCTCTGAGAGCAAAGCCCTACTCTCGGGGCTTCCCAAAGCTGATACGTCCTTCTGTGTGTCTTCTTCACAGCAATTCGCCAGTCCATCTCCAAAGCCCTGGTGGCCTATTACCAGAAATGTGAGTAAGAATGGCTCCTTCCCATGGGGTGGGTGAGAGGCAAGTGGAGGACCAGCCCCGCATTTAGCCCCAGAGACCAGGAGGGTGCTTCCAGGGTTGTCTCAATCTTTACTCTCCTCTCATCCCCAGATGTGGATGAGGCTTCCAAGAAGGAGATCAAAGACATCCTCATCCAGTACGACCGGACCCTGCTGGTAGCTGATCCCCGGCGCTGCGAATCCAAAAAGTTTGGTGGTCCTGGTGCCCGTGCTCGTTACCAGAAATCCTACCGATAAACCAATTGTGAGGATTAGGGTTCACCTTTATAATAAACAATTGTCATGGGACTTCAGGTTTCAAGGACTGTGCTGTGGTCGTTTTGTGGTGGGTCTTTGACTAAAAGAAATGCGAGAAACAGCCCGGCTCACGCCGGTCTGGATTGTAAGGCTTTCCAGCGTTTTCAGAAGACACCACGCCTGGGTTAGGGTGGGTGGGTGGGGAGGCGGGGGTGGGGGGGCAAGCTTGAGACCCAGTCTCCCCGCGCTTGTAGTAGAGTCCAGCGTGCAGGCACCATGGAGGCGGGGTGGTTCTAGGCCATTGGTTGTGTGGGGTGTCCTCATGAGTTTTATTTTTTAGTCCTCTTGCTGCTATTGTGATGGCGTGTCAGGGAGTAGCGGGGGAAATGTGTAAGATCAGTAAACATTAATAGAAACTTGGGTGCAGCCTGAAGTCAACTAGTAGGGCCGTGATTGGATTGGGAAGGGATCTTTCCTAATGCCAGTCTGTAGGTAGATAGACTCGAGATGTGGGAGGGGTGGGATCCTTCTGACTGGCTTCATCCTTCAGGATGTCAATACTACCTCCCGGGGAAGGGCCCCCTGTGGCCTCTTGAAAGCAGGTCCCGATTACACTCATTTGAGCAACTGCCTTTACTGGGCTCAGAATGTGGGTCTGAGGACTTGTTCATCTGTTGTGCCTGCCACGTAGTAAGAGCCAACATATTGTAGGCTCTCCATTGCTACAACTGGGCTACACGGTATTTCCATTGTCGAAAGTTCTGTGGGCAGCACTGGTGTATGTTTAAGGAAGCAAAATGTTGCTTGTGGATTCAGTTACTTTTGGTTTTCCCTCCCCATTTTTACAGGGAAGCTAATGAGCTTCATTGGGTGGGAAGGGCATCTCTGCCCCATCAGCCCTTGCAGCCAGCCTGGACACCTCAGCCATCTGTCCCCAGGCAGGGTCCCACATGCTCCCCCTGCTGAGGGTACTGGCGAGAACAGCGTATGGCATCTGGACATTGATGGAGAGGGGAAAATTTTAACAATTTTTTCATGAAAGAAGGAACTTGAAATTTATTGACCAGTTGTCTTTTTGGTATGTGCCCCACTCCATCTAGTAGTCACGTGCAGCTGGCAAACTGGGCAGCGCAGATGAGAGAACGCTGCCGTCATTGAGGAAAATTGGACTGGACGCGGCACCGATGTGTGGGGAGCGTATGCAAATAGCGTTTCTTACAGATGGACGGTGTGGTTGATTGGTACCAACCAAGCGCCAGGCTAAGCATTGTTAGGTATACTTGACGACATGCTCGTGAGGTGGCTGACAGGCTGGTGTCTAAATGTTAGGTAAGAAGATTAGCCTAGTGGCCATGTAACTGCAGCTCGTCAAGTTTAAATTGCAGCTGTAGTTAACGGGTTTGGATGGCATTAACCTAAATGTCCTGGAGAGGGCAGGAGGCCACTACCCTTGCACTTTGAGCCTGATCAGTGGCTCTAAAGACGGCTGGGCTTACAGTGGACGAGCAAGGAAGGTGTTCCTGAGGAGGCGTCGGAGCTGGGGCTGTGAAGCAGGTAGGAGTCAGGCAGGTGGGAGTAATGGAGGGGGGCGGTCAGGGGTCAGGTGGGGCTTAAGCAAGCCTGGTGTCCCTGGTTTCCTACAGCGTTCAGAGACCCCCTTACGAGACTCCTGGCTCCCTGCCAGAGGCACAGCTGGGATGCATCTTGCATCTGGAAATGCTAAGGGGGCTCGCCTCTCTCTCCCCACTTCAGGCTTTGGAGGAGACGGCCCTTCTCCCTCCCTGCCGCCTCCTCAAATACCGGGAATTCCGGCGCCACTGGGAGCCCAGGCCAGGCTGAGAACTTTCCTTCAGCTGGGAATGTGCAGCTGGGGGTGGAGGAGGGGAGGGCCAGAGTCCTGACCCTGGCGAGGCTGCGGTGCAGTA